TATTTATGTTCCTTCTAATTTTAAACTGTGACTTCCAAAAAAGCTTCCAAGAGGAAATGGAGGCTCTTACTAGAAGGTCAGCAATATTCCTGTGAGTATAAGTCAGTGAGTCACAAGTCAGTCTGTGGTCAGATTCCAAGTCTCATGGTACGGGTGTGCAAAGAGGAGCTGTGTGCAAGCCCCAGAGCGCATGGACCTCGGCCAGGCATGCTCATCCACACGAATGGGGGGCTGTCCTACCTGAGGCTACTGCTGGCCCAGCAAGGAAGCTAGGCCGCCAGCAGTGGCGAGTGAGGGCTGTCCCCAAATCCAGCAGCATCGGGTTCAAGGCTTCAGCCAGCACTTCCTGCCCTTGAATTTCACTGCCAACCCTTTTCTCGTCATGAACCAGTGAGATGCCCCATTCCCTATAGCAGAACCAGTATTCAGAGAAGGCAGGATGATTTCTCATGGCCCTGACCTTTCATGACTGCCCCAAGCTTGTGACTTAGTGGAATAGAGCCAGCCCCTGGGCACTCTGTCCCTAGAAACACCTCCTCCAGATCCACAGAGCCTGCCAATCTGGGTTCCATGGGCAGCGGGACTAGGGCCTTTGTAGGTCACCACCTCACAGAGATCCTATGTTGATCCTCCTGGGCCAGTGGACCAGCAGTGTGTCATGGAGGTTTCCGACCGTAAGAACTGCGGCTACCCAGGCATCAGCCCCGAAGACTGCGCCTCCCGCCACTGCTGCTTCTCTGACACCATCCCCCAGGTGCCCTGGTGCTTCTTCCCCAAGTCTGTGGAAGGTAGGAGGCCAGGTCCCATGGGGGCTGCAGGGTGGGTGGCTGGCAGAGGCTATGGTGCCATCCAGAGCTGCTTCAGGAGACCCTGAGTGGCCTCCCTAGGGAGACCAAACAGCTCCAGGTCTCCCTGCTCATCTGGCACCCTTGGTCTTGGTCCATATCTGTTCTGCCATACAGGGCTGAGAAGGGGCCACAAGGGGGTGTGGCTGCAGGTCTGGGGACTGGGAACAAGGCCTCTGCCCTCCTGTCCTGCTACCAGAGAGGGACAAAACCAGGGCGAGGGCTTGCTGACCTGGAAGCTGCTTTTTGAGTTTTCCTTCTCTCAGGGTTTCCTTCCATTCTCAGAGCTTTCTGGGTGAACGTGGAGGTGATCCAAGGCTTTGCTGGAAGGTTTCCCACCCTCCAGGAGGAGCAGACCCCACAGGAAGCACCCTGGGTCTGGGTTGGGGTGGAGTTGCCCATCCCTTCTGTCCCACCACTCCGAGGAGATCTCTGGACAGTGGCCTGGCATTACAGGAGACTCTCTATCCCACCACTATCCCGTGTCCCCTTTCCAGACTGCCATTATTAAGATGCACCAAGATGCTGACTGCTGAGGGCCTGCTCTGCTCGAGTCCTGCTGTGAAACCAGAGAAGAAAGCTTGCTGTCTGCTGCTTCGGTCCGGCATAACCCTGGGTTTCCTCCATCATCCTTTGATCCCTTTTTTGAGGTTCAATGTACAAATTCTTCAAATAAAGAAAATCTTAACACTAACAGTGTTGCATTTTGTGTTCATGAGCACAGGGATGGCAATGGGAGCATGCATGTGCACATATGTGTGGGTGTGTGCGCATACATGAACATGCACACAGGTGAGTATATGTGTGAGTGTGTGCAGTTTTAACACTTTTTAAATTCCCCTGAGAGCAATGAGGTGTAATCTTCTGGGCTACTCCAGCAGCCATGAAATACCATGCGGACATCAACTTCAGAGTCTCTCTCTCTCTCTCTCTCTCTCTCTCTCTCTCTCTCTCTCTCTCTCTCTCTTTAACGTATTTGGTTGTTGTAGGGTGTCACTATATAGCTCAGACTTGTGGTGATTCTCGTGCTTTCAGCCTCCCCAGTACTGGGATTTTGGGAGGGCACCACTACGCCCAGACTCTGCCCACTCAGCCTGCCCTGGAGGTGAGGCTGGCACAGCATGTGGTGCTGGGGATCAAACTTCAGTCCCTGTGCTTGCCTAAGCTTGGCTAAGGCAAGCCCCAAACACATCCTAGATTTCTTTGGTTTTTTTTTTTTCTCTTTCTTTTTTTGTACCAGGGATTGAACTCAGGACCTTGAATTTGCCAGGCAGGTACTTATGCCACTGAGCTGTACCCCAGGCCCCATTACTCTCTTAACTCCAAGTGCCCGATCATTTTTAACCACTCCAAGGACCTTGATCCTAGCAAGCAATCTAAGATTGTGTTGATGAAATCACCATGCCTTTACCGAGTGCACCCCAGCTTTTGGACTGGGTGTACAGCAGTACTGGTTTCCTTCTTGCATGCCCTGAGCATCACAGGGACAGAGCAGGGCTGGTGGCTTGGTCTTTCACATGTCTCCCCTCTGCCTGAGAGCGGCCTCCATTGCGTGTGCAGCTTGAGGTGTGGAGGGAGGAAGTTGGCCTCGCTGCCTGTGGCCTCCCTGCCCTGGAGACTCCGTGTGTCTGCTCCATGTTCTGGGCTATGCCCGGAAGTACTGACCAGTGATGCACACTGGCTGGGCTTCCTGCAGCCCTGCCCTCTTTCTGCCCCTCCCCTGCCCATGCTAGCAGATTTAGCTCATGTCACCAAGTACCCCACTAGGAGAGTCCCAGGCATCAGCCCTGGAGGGTGGCAATCTCCAAGAGCATCTCTTTGAGGGACAGATCTGGCTCTACACCTGCACTGGGGACTCATACTCTCTCCTGGTGTCCCTGCCACCCTTCTTTGGCACTCCATCTCCTTCTGGGTGCTGAAGTGGCCAGGGAAGTGCAGGTCCTTGGCCGGTGATCTCCTCAGGTGAGGAGCAGAGGTCTCAGCCCCAGGTTCCCTGTCTGCCCTCTGGCACCGTGGGCTTCCTAGCTGGCAGCACAGTTAACAGAAGTGCCTTGGGAAGTGATTATAGGACATGGCATTGGCCCCTCATTGGCACAGGGATCTGTAGGAGGGTGGCCACTGTGCCCACAGCCTGACAACCTGGGAGGGCCACTCCAGGGAGGCCCTGTGTCTCCGAGTCCCAGATTTCCTGTTTGCAGTTTTAGAAAACAGTGATGAACAGGTGTCACGGGGAGTGGGTGGAAGAAAAGTCGGAGCACTTCAGGGTGCATGGGTGGTGTGGGCCTCTGTGGAATCAGCCCTGAAGACCACACAGCTGTCCCTTGGTGACCGTGCACTGCTTTGCAGAGTTGCTCCTGAGGAAGCGGGTCCAGCTCTCAAGCCTGGGGCCCAGCTGCTTGGCTGGGTCTACACGGCTGTGTCCATGCGTGCTCTCACTCACTGCCCTGCAGTTCACATTTGTTGTCCACTCACCAACACTAATATCATGGTGGCAGCACAGTCACTCTGTGTGGGAAAGTGTCCCCAGCACCAACATCCCCTCCCCAGGCCTGTGCACCCCTGTGCTTCCTTCTGCTCCACTTCCATAGCAAAGTCACCAAGAAAAAGACAAGTCAGAGAACAAGGTGCTGCTCACACTAGGGACAATCATGTCTGCCACGACCTGAGATGGGGCAGCAGAGGCTCACCCTGGCCCAGCTCACGTGGGCACGCATCTGAGGGTGACTCTAATTTACCACTGCACACTTGGGTGCCTCAGGTATGGACTCAGGGCACAACTGAGTGTCAATGAGTAGTGGAATTTGCAAATGGAAAACCCACAAAGAGCAAGGAAATTTGCAAGCAGGAAACCTGTGCATGCTGGTCTGTCATTGTGTGTCCGTTATATGTGTTACAGTCATCATACTTGTGTCCAGGGCCCAGGCCTTCTTGTGAGCTAGCCTGATGTCTAAAGCTCCACAGACAGAGGCAAAGATTGTGTCTGGCCTTATGCTACTCTTGGCCAGAGCTGAGGTCACGGCAAACATGCTGGGGCCTCGGGCACCACTGCACTGAGACAGCAGCCATTCTGTGCAAGGAGGCTCCTGGAAGAGGGCCCCAAGGCCAAGGGCTGGCAGTCCCTGTAGCTGTTTTCCATTCAACACTTAACATTGATTGACTTTCATGCAGTGCAGTGAGAAATGTGGCTCCAAGGAAGGAGGGACCATTCATTCATGTGTTGCCATAACTCAGTTTAGGAAAGACTTTCAAGGTAAGCGAGGACTCAGGATATAAGAGAACCTGTACTGTAACATCATGTAACTCAGTGATGTCTCAAATTTTCTGATCAAGGAGATTATGGGGCCACAGAGGAAAGTGATCAATGATGTAGAGTGTGCCTAAGGAGAGTCACACGGAGAGAAAACATTCTCTCAGGCTTTCACAGAGCAAATTAGTCAAGCAATGGCCGTGACTCATCCACATGGCTGACACTGACAAAGGATCTACAAACTGCGGTACAGGGTTTCAGGGTAAATCCTGAAGGAATTTAACTGACCTTGGCATATACAAAAGTTACATTTCTTCTTATATAGATCTTGCTTTATCTTGGTCTTAACCATCCAGCAGAAAAGTATAAAAACGAGGTATAAAAAGTAAAGCCATATTAATATGCTGAGCTATAAAAGGCTCAAGTCAACAACTTCTGACATTGCCAGTCCTGTGTATAACCCACAACTATTATGGATCACTGGACTATATTGGATTATTTTGCTAAATTCACACACCTACAATATTTAAATGGCAATGCAATACCCATCTCTGAAAAAACTAAACAAAAAAGGGAATATAAATGAAGGACCATTTTGTATCTGTATATACAAAATAGTTAGGATAGATATACAGATACTTTGTCTTAATTCAATGAGAAGAAAGATTTGTACTAATAGTGGTTGTACAGGATATCATGTCTGCATCTTGTACTATGAATAACCACTACGAAGACAACAATGCGCAATGTAATAATTATTGAAAATGTCCTACTAATCAGTTTTGAAACTGTCTCATTGTTGTTTGTTTCTCAATAAAATTAATTTAAAAAATTGAAACAAAAAAAGAGAAAGACCCTCTTTGCGCACCTACCTGTACCTGATATCCTACGCCCTCTGCTGGCCAGTCTGGGGACAGTCATCCCACCCGACCTGTGGAGGAGTCAACGCATGCCCAACTAGCACAGCTTGATTAACAGCCCTTTCATCTGGTCAGTGCGCTGCCTTTCCACTGGCCATGGGAATAGTTAAGCCTTGAGATCTTAAACATTACCTTTATAGGGGTATAATTCATGCAGAATAAAACCCACTCATTATAAATGACTCAGTTTGGGGAGTTTTGGTGGACAAGGCCACCTTCCAGATATAGGATATCGTCTTCACCCCCAACCACCCATGCCCTGCAGTCAGGGCTCTGGCTTGGCTCCTGCCCTGAGGGTTGGCTTGCTAGGACTTCCTGTAAGTTTAACTTACAGTGTGGAGTTAGGGAGCCTGTCTTCCATATCGCCTGGCTTCCCACCGCCGGGACCTGACACCCAATGATTGAGTGAGGCCAAGGCTGCTTGGCCCTTGGCTCAGGGTTCAGTCTCCTGGGCTCTTAGGTGGGAGCACCATGGAGGAAGTGGGGGGTGATGTAAAGCTGTTTGCTTCATGTGACTAGAGGACACCAGGGAAAGATGGGTCCTGTGAAGCCACCTCTGTCGGGGACCTGGCCCAGATCCCCAACTGCTTGCCTGAGCGGTGCTGCGAACTTATGCTGATGAAGACTGGGGGGAGGGGCGCAGGTCATGGAGTTTGTCCTTTCCCCAAGGAGAGGCTCTATTTTATTACTACTGAGTTCTCCAGGACCCAGGAAGTCTGCAGCCCTTTCATTCTTGCCCCAGGCGTCACGGCATCAGGACTCTGAAGCCTCCACTGAGGCCTGAGGCAGAGAATTATGTTCCTGCAGACCAAAGGCCATGGGGCAAGGCACTGGGCCTCCGACAAACCCTCATCATGATCTAATTGTGAAATGATTTTCCCCAACAGTGCTATAGAATGGTCTTCGACATGCCTCCAGTGACCGCCTGCTACAATCGGACCACCTTCTAGCAGCATGTTCAGCTTTGAGTAGAATCCACTGATGAGGTCAGCATGCCCACGGCCCAGTCACCTCACCAGTCAAGATTCCCTAGCAATTAAGATTCTCTGGCCACTTTCTTTCGCTCAGCACACAGCTATGCTGACCTATCCAGGTTGTTGTATCCAACGGCACCACATGCTTTTCTGTGCCACATGGTGTTCCATGGTGAGCATTTTTTATAATGTGTGCTCACTCCGTGGCTGGTGGGCATTTGGGTTGTTTATAGGCCACAACAATATGAATGAAGCTCCCAGGAGCTTTGCGTACAAGTATTTGAATGCACTGGATACACAGCTAGATATCTTTTCTCTGAGAGTTCGCTGGGTATGGTGAGTGGTGTGCTGTGGTTAGAAGAATCAGATTGTTCTCTGCAGTGGTTGGACCATTT